AATCCCAGTTTCCACGGTGTATACCACACCCTCAGATTATTCATATTAAGAGGATCGACTCGAACACCAGCCGTGAAGTTCATGATGGAGGATTGAAGAATGAAAAGTTTTCCAAGAAAAAGTTAAAGAGATAATCGACGAAAAATTGTTGACCTTCAGAAGAGAAAGCTCGGTCTTGAATGAAACACTGTTGTGTGGATAAAATCTTTTAGAGGGGTTGTATGGTTGTTCATTTTGTTTGCTTATATGTATTTTACTTCTCTGATTATAAAAGCATAATTGGCATGTAGGAACTTGTTTTCCTTGAACGATAATGCATTAAACATGTTTGTCTTGAAGAAATCCATTCGCTTCACTCATAAAATTATTTTTCATAATTTATAATGCTAACTTTATCCAATCTCTTGCTTTGACAGAGATGGGAGGAGGATGACGAATAAAAACGCAAAGATTTCTCGTTGTATGCTTTTGAGTAAAACCCTGTTGATGATGTAAGGCATTGTTTCAAATCCTAAACATTGGAGATATAAGGAAGATAATCCCTCTTTAACCCCTTTGAGCCTTGAAGTAGGAGTTTTTTTCTTTTCCACAAAAACCCTCAATTGTAACCTGGGGCAGGGTAGTTTTCAGTTAAGCTGATTGAGCGCCCAGACTCTCAAAAAGGAGGAGTGAACCTTCGAGAATCCATTTTATATATCCCTAACATATTAGGAGGCTAGAAGTCAAAAGACACAAATGAATACCCCTCAACTATCCAAAGAGTGGGGCAGTCACAATCCTTTCAAAAATGCCAAAATGACTTAGAGTCACACGACTTGTTCAAAAATAAAAAAATAATGAAAAAAAGAAAAGTCCACCAAGTCAAAACCTATGAAGGAGACTAGGCGAAATTGAGATAGCCCGTTGGATTTCAAAGTCAAATTCAAAAGACTCCGTCCAGGCAAAAGTTAGGGAATAAGAAAAATGCGAAAAGAAAAAACAAAGGATCACAAAGAAATATCCTTAGTAAAGAACAAAGTCGTGTGATCAAACACCAAAAGAAAATAGGTGAGTGACTGCCATGTCCAAAGCCTCAATTTAGTTCTTGATCATATCAAAATCCTCTTGAGAGATGAGTGCTCGTATCAAGTTTAGCTGAATGTAGGTCTGGAGAACATCACGAAGAAGGGGTGGGTACAAATAAACTTTGAGCCTTTATCCTTTGTTTCTTAAAACCGTGAACCAAGCCACGATACAACCTTTAAAAGACCTAATTGAAGTAGGGTTTATTTTGAAAGCATACTCGATGAGATGACGTTTCCTGACTCCTATGAGCTATGCTCAATTTGATGTTGGCTCTATAAATTAAATTTGTATCCTAACTAGTGATTCAGCCACAAGTTATTGTGATATCTTTTTTCAACAAAAAAAAAAAGAAAAAACTTCAAGACAAACATATATGTTGCGTTAACAGTTTCAGGATTAACATTTCATGCGTGTTGATTTTGCCTGATATATTAGAAAGCTTACATATAAGACATCAATGATGAAACTTGAAGACCATGTTGAACAGGGGCAAGTAGTTTCCAAGTTGTCTACTAATGCAAAGTCTAACTTTCTCAGAAGTAAGTTTTGAAGACTCGGTTATACATAACACCGTCAACCCGGGCCAGTTACGTCGAGATTCGACAATCTCTCCAAGAGTTTGAAAATAGTGGGGCAATTGAACTCCCTATTCTCTGTAAAATCCTCTTGGAACGACTTTTTTCCTCATAAAGCATGTACTCTGGGGCATTTGAGAAATGAAGAGCACGTCATCCTCTTCATAAATCCTATATAATATGCATTGTCTCATAAATCCTGTAGAAGTTAAAATGTAAGCTCCTTAGACTGGATATAAAATGATTCCAGCTATAGTTTTTGTTGATATTGTCTTGCCAGTTTACGCCAGTTTTACCTGATCTTTATTCTCATAAATGCATCAGGATACTCTTTACTAATCTTGGTGGAGAACGACGATTTGCATCAATTGTTGTGAAGAGATTAGAATCTCTCGGTGCTTTGACCCAGGGGGATCGCAGGCATGTTGGGTTTACATGTTTTTTTGTTTTTTTATTTTCAATAAGTTTGGATCAGTGAACTTTTAATCTTCGTCTATGTTCTTGACTTCCTTTTTGGCTTACAAGGTTGGGCCTTCATTAAGCGCTTATAATTATGATAGTGCTTATGGAAAGAGGGCTCTGGTGATTATGTACAAAGGAATAATGGAGCAGGTTTCATATTATTCTTTGAAATAGGGAGTCACACACACACATACACGTATAAATATATAGAGGACAACTCTGGTGAGAACACTTGGTTATTGTGAGATTTGGTTATTTTGAGAGATGAGAACAATTAATTAACCGTTAGATTTAGATTAACGGCTGATATTACATTTTAAATTAAAGTATCATGTGATTGGACCTTCTTCCTTTTCTCATTCACAATCGTGACCACCAAATACAACAAACTGGTATAATCTAGTAAGCTGGACCAGACCCAATGTTTGGGTGTGGCTAGCATACTGATTAACTATTATTTAATTTAATTTAATTTAATTTAACTTACTTGTGTGAGGGTCCTTAAAGAATGACGCCAATTAGTCAACACCAAAAGCATAACGTTATAGTAATGACCTAAAATTGATCTCATCAATCAAGTAGCTGGTGTTGAATGGCATGGGAAGACTATTGTTTATGCATACAGATCAGGTACAATTAATTATTCACAATTAATTTATCATATGAATTCAAACAAGTCACAATCATCATTTAATACTCCTCTCCATTTTTTAGGCGAGGTGATTCGGCTACCGAAAGGTGTTTCTATTCCAATGACACTGAAGGTTCTGGAGTTTGAACTTTTCCATTTCTGTCCAATCCAAGTAAGAGTTCACCATCAACATATACAATATTATTTCATTGGTTTTTGGATTTTTTTCTGCCTTTAATTTTGTTAAACTGATTGATGTAATGTTTCATTTGACAGGAAATTGCGTGCGGTATATCATTTGCAGTTGTAGGCCTAATGGATATGTTCAACACTGGAGGAGTTGTGGATGAGGTCGAAATTCATAGAAAGACTGACAACAAACAAGAGCTATTTGACAGAGAGGTTGTACAATCAAAATTGATAACTTCTCTAGGTCCTAACTGAACGACCACAACGACTATTAGTTTGAAAGTTAAAGGAAGTGGAAAGTTTAGAGTTTACTCCTTGCAGCGTCCAATAAAGTGCATGGTGGATGAGACTTCAACTGACTTCAACTATGACTCAGAAACTGGATTGACAATCTTCTTCATCTCAATAGTTTTTCAAATGCTGCAATTTATGTCCATATTTTGCGTCATTTTAGATTTATTAGTGCCTAGAGTATATGCGTTTAGGCGAGCCTCTTGTCCACTTGTTGTAAAGCAAATCCTTGTGCACTTTTGGATGGACCTGATGCTGTCAAGTTAGATGTCTTGTAAAAAGATATAGATCATGTTAATTTGTACACAAAGTTACATAATTTATTTATTTTTATTTTTTATTTTGTTTTTTTATTATCTTTTTATAATAATGCTAAAAAATTAAGGGTAAATTTTTTTATAATAAATATTCACACGGTTCAATATGCCATAATTTACCGTCATAATCAATGATAATAATAAAAATAAAAATGAAAATCCACAGGAAACTGTCATGCAAATTGCGACGGTTCAAACCGTCGTAACCTGCCAAAATGAAAACAAAAATCAAAAGGCTAATAACGACGGTCTTTAACCGTTGCCATCTCTAATTTAGGTCAGTTCCAGCCCGTCGTGAAATATAACGACGGTTGGTGTGGCGGTTTTGACAACCGTCGCTAAACAGCTTGGGACACACGTTTCTGCGACGGTACTACGACCGTCGTAAAATGTAATTAATGGTAGTTTTAACCGTCGTAACCTGCCAAAATAACCGTCGCAATCCATTGTTTTTCTTGTAGTGACAGTGAAATTTGTGACTGCAACTCATCAACTCTTTCACAACACTACCCCTCTTTTATGATGTGGAAGATCAGACAAAACTGTAACCACAGATCATACTAAGAACACGTATCCTCGAATCAAACCAAAAGCTCTGATACCAGTTGTTGGGAAAAAATAAACAAAGCATAGAGAAAAAAAGAGGAACACAATAGCAACGCAAAAGATTAACGTGAAAACTCCAAAACCGGAGAAAAATCCACGGTTATTGTCGATAGATACCCTCAGTTAACATTATTATAACACATAATATACTCTCAGTTAACTCAAACCCCCAGTACACCAACATCCTACAAAATTAATATTTAACTACACCTCACGACACTCTAATATAGGAGTATAAGAGAACAAAGAAAGTAAAATACAAGTTTAAAGTGTTTTTGGTTGCTACATCTTGAAATGAAGAACTTGAATCATATATATAGTCTTAGATTCCCTCTTCTTTCACAAAATTAAGTGATATGAGACTTTAAAGAACTTGTATAATATATATAGTATTTGACTCTCTTCATTCACAAAACTAAGCGATGCGAGACTTTTTCAACATGTATATTTCCAACCAACCCCAACACACCATTAATAATTTGAGAGTTTTAAATCACCCACATGAAAGTACTTTTAAAGTTTTAGCATAAACTCAATCGTATACCATAAAAACCAATCATAATCCATAAATAAAAACAAAGCGCAGAAAGTAAAAAAAATATTGACCAAATGACAATATTATGAAAATGTATGAATTAGAAGTAGAGCAAAATTTTACCTTTGAAATTTAGTGACAAAAAGCTATTAAAACATGGACATTGTTACCCATATATGTTTTTTTTTTCTAATTTAAAGATATTTTTATGTGAAGTAGATTTTCTTAGAAGGTATTTAGAAGTTTTTTTTTTAATTAAAGAAAATTTAGTTCTTCAAATATAGTTTCATTAATAAATTAAAACATACAATAGGTGCACATTATTGGTGATGGGACGAGGGCGGCCGCCAAAAAAAAAATCGGTGCCTCTACCACCATTATCGCTGGTGGTCTCTACTCCGGTGTCTCAATCGGTTTTGCGAAGCCACAATGTCAGCAAGAATCTCAGCACAGAGGAAAATGTGGGAATCAAGTACCTTGGAGAAACCTCAGATGCTCCGGAAGACGGAAGCATTGCGAAGAAGAGTAACGAAATTGAACTGGAAAAACCTAGGTCAACTCCAACTCCTGAAGAAGGGCGAAAGCTATGGGCTGATGTGTTGAAAGACAACAGGAATCCGGCGAAAGGTCGTGTTATGAAGTTCATACCCCCTCAAGTCGTGGAAGGGAAAATCGAGGTTCAAATTGAGGAAGATGATGTCAGCTCTGAAATCAAGTTCTGGGAATCTTCGCTGATTCTTTATGCTATGGGAGCGGATTTGAGTATGAATGCGGTCAAGAATTTTATGACCAGAACTTGGAATTTTGTTCAACTACCGGACATGTATTTCAATGATGAAGGGCATTTCATTCTCCGGTTCAAATCATTCACAGATCGAGACGAAGTTATGCTGAGAGGACCGTACATGTTAAGAAACATTCCTTTGTTGATTCGTGAATGGAGGCCAGATTTCAAGATCAAGGATGAACTCTTAAGAACCTTACCTATTTGTGTTAAACTTCCCCAACTCCCTATGGTGTTGTGGGGTGATACAAGCCTGAATAAGATTGGGAGTGCCCTAGGTAAGCCTATTATGACAGATGAATGTACTGCAAACAGATTGTGAGTATCCTATGCGCGTATTCTGGTTGAAATGGATATTACAAAGGAACTACCTCAATCAATCACCATAGCTGATCATGCTGGAGAAAAGATGCAACAGTCAATTGAGTATGAGTGGAGACCTCTTTTCTGCAACAAATGTCAAAAGGTAGGTCACTGCTGTGAAAAGCCTAAGATGAGGAAACAATGGATACCAAGGAATGTGAAACAACCTGAAGCTAATGAGATGTCAAATAAGAGTGGGGATGCTAATAAAGAGCCTCTTGAAATAGGAAATGTCAATTTGGATATAGTTCAGAGCAGGAAGGAGAATGATGGCTCTACTGCTGTTGAGGTTACTTCTATCAGAAATAAGGATGTGGAAAAAGTTATGGAAAAATGGACTGAGGTTATTAAAAGTGGAAGAGATAGAGGTAAAAAGTTAGGTAATGTTGAAGCCGCAGGTGTGTCTTCACATGACAATGGGTTTGATGCTCTAGAGATTTTGAAGGATCTCCTAGAGGCTCAAAACACTGGCCAATGATTGTCTCTTGGAATATCAGGGGGCTGAATAAAATGGGGAAGCTAAAAGAGACTAGCTCCCGTCTCCTAAACCTTCATCCCAACATTGTTATACTACTTGAAACTAGAGTTAAATGTGAGAAAGCAAAGAAAGTTAGAGAACATCTTAACCTCAGAGGTAAATATATTGACAACTATCAATCTCATTACAATGGTAGGATTTGGATTTTTTGGGATGACAGATATAAGTGACGCTACTCGAAAAATGCATCGCGCAACGACGGGGAGGCGAAAAGAAAGGACAGAAGAGTCGCCACCGAACTTTATTTATCCCATGAGGGGAAAGGAAAATATCGAGAAAACCTTAAGAAAAGAAACGGATAAGATGGTCTCGCGACCAAGAACGGGTTCGGAAGCCGGTTATGCAAGGGGAAGGTATTAGCACCCCTCGCATCCATCGTACTCGATGGGAACCTTTTGTTTGTCGATGTGTGAATTTATCTGTTTAAATATTATGCTATAAAAGTGTTCCACAGGGTAAAAGAAGGGTTTAGAAACAGGAAAGTTAGGAGGAAAGAGAGAACGGGGAAGAAAAGAGAAAGAACAGACTCGGTAGGACTTCGCAGTCCTATGCCTACGTATTCTCAATAGATATGAGAAAGTCAGAGTCGACGTAGTTCGGGGAACTACAGATATGGGGGGAATTGTGCTCGCCAAGGATTGCGGCCCTTGTGCCTACGTATCCTCATCTGGTATGAGAAATCAGAGCAGCCGTAGTTCGGCCAACTACGGGTGAAAGGTGAAAAAGAGAGCTCGCCAAGACATCGCCGTCTTGTGCCTACGTATTCTCATCTGGTATGAGAAATCAGAGCAGACGTAGTTCGTGCTACTACGGGTAACCGGTGTTTTTTACGGATGATGCTATCGTGCACATTCTAGCAGTTAGGTGTTTTGCTGCTCGCTCGTTGGAGACTTAGGCGTTACCTGTTTGCGGTAGAACGGACGTATCATATCCTTTTGAAAGATTGATTAGTTTTCGCCACGCGGGGCAAGGTGTCACGTTTGATTGATTGGATTGTTTTTTAGGGGGGCGGGACAGGTCCTCGGATAGTAACCCCTACGGGTAGTACCCAATTCTTTATCTCAAAGTTTTTGTTATAGAAGGGTGTGGCGAACGAGGCGTCTTCGTATTGAAAGACGAGCGTCGAAACCACCCTCACTACAGTGGGCATCCCTACGCTCGGAGAAGAAGAGGTCTACACCCAATCCTCTCTCTTTAATTCAATGCAAAGAGAACTTCATTCTCTTATTAAAGATGTTTTTGGTTTTGAATGGTAAATGCTTTGCGACAGAGAACCCTACGGTAAACGTCAGCACTCGGGATAGGAGAAGGCCTACGCCTAACCACTCCATGACCATTCAAGTTTTGTATATGAAAAAGAATTGAAAAGGCACTCGGTGCGGGACCGAGGTTTTTGGTGAAAAGGGTTACAGAATGAAGTTGTGAAAGGAAAAGGTGGATAAAGTCGCGTCTTCATATTGAAAGACGAGTATCGAGACCACCCTCACTACAGTGGGCATCCCAACACTCGGAGAGGAAGAAAGTCTACACTTAATCCCCTCTTTTAATTCGATACAAAGAGAAATCAAATTATTATGGTTTGAAAATGGACTCGGTACGAGACCGAGGTTTTAGGAGAGATGGTATGGAAACGTCTTCGTATTGAAAGACGAGCGTCGAAACCACCCTCACTACAGTGGGTATCCCAACGCTCGAAGAAGAAGAGGTCTACACCCAATCCTCTCTTTTTAATTCAATACAAAGAATTGATTTTAAGGAGATGAGATGTTTATAAGATGCGAAGCAAGCAAACCCTAACAGAGGATCAATTTCCAGGCAAGCCAAGGGTCTTGAAAATTCAAATAAATTGAAATTTCATTTCATTAAATGAAAATAGTCTTTATTGTGAGCATTTTGCAAAAAGAATGAATCAAAAATAATAAAGTATGCTAAAGTTATGGATTTTGGAAATTGTATAAGTAAATAAATGGACTTATAAAAAGAGTAAGAGGTGGGAGTTGAACCCACCTCCTTTTGGTTCACAAACAAACGCTTATCCACTGGGGCACACGCGCGCGTTTGCAATATGATGGAAGGGAAAGAAGAAGAATAATAATCCAAGAAAATCACAAAAATAACAAAAGGGTCGTCACTGAGGATCGAACCCTGGTACTTGGCAATGAAAGGCGCATGGCTTACCGCTGGGGCGGTGATACTTCCAATATTCAAAATGAAACAAGAAATATGTGTAGCATATCTCTATTATTTGCTGGGCAAAAATAAAACAACCCAAGAACAAATGCAATAGCAATCACAAAGAGATCATAACTCTATGGAATCGACTAAAATTAAAGTCTATCCTGCATTTTTTCAGAGAGGAGCCTAATGGTGCTATCCAAATTTTCATATAAAGCTTGTAAAATAAAATACGATAGGAAACGCAAAGCAAGACTTTGAAATGCATCATGAACTCTAGAGGCTAGGACTGATATAAACCTGAGCAATCAGGGATCTATACATGCTTGAAAATCAACATTCATGGACTATGTTCAATGAACAAACTCAACTTTTCAATAAATCAAGTAATGGACACCAAGTTGCATATTATGAAACGAACTTTTAACAAGTCTCAAACCAACCAAAGCTGGGGTCAAATCTGTATGACAGCAACTTATAAACAACTTAAAGTGCAAAAAGTTAAGATTTCAACACATATAACAGGTAACAAAAACTGAACTAAAGCTTAACAAGATTCAAAGCAGAGTTTGCCAACCAAATGCTCAGTTATTCCAATCAAAATTCATGGCTTCAATAGCAAGTTTCAGAAAATAAAACAAGATAAAAAAAACAAGTCAAGCAAACAGGTTCTGTTAATGGAAGCAAACACACATCTTGACCAACAACCTCAATTCCAAACAGTACTCCTTAATTGAAGGTCCCACCAAAAATTAAAAGAAAAGCAAACACCAGATATAACAAGTTGACAGCTTCAAACCCCTTATGGCAGCAACAAAACTCAAACCATGGTAGGTTGGTTCAGCAGGCAAGCATGCACATGTTTTAAATGTAACATAAATCAAACTTAATCATCAAGATAAAACCAGTTGTTAACAGAATAGAATGAGGTTTGTGAGCTGCTAAAAGAATGAAAAACTATGCTTTCTATGAACTTCTCAATTCAACAATATCAATACTGTTAAAACAACAAACAAAACCAAAAGGAGTCATAACCCAAACTTCATACACACTAACTGTGGTGATTTGGAAACAAATTTGGTGATACCTAAGGATTAAAATTAGCTAGTCAGCATGGAGGTTACAACATTAAAACCCTGCAATACTTAACAAAATGACCAAGATAGATCCTCAAACAACACATATCAATCCTTTAGAACAGTTTGGCAAAACCCACTGCTAAAAAAAAAAACAATGGCTTTTGCAAAAGGCAAAGTAAACCTACACATAAGCAGTAGCAATTCTCCGGTTATTGGTCCCAATTCGGATATTCAAATGAAAGTCATAGCACAACCAATTTATTAATGTGAAATGAGAAACCTAAAAGCATCAAGGTAAGCATTAGCAAATTCAGCCCTCACAGCAGCATTTGACAGCATACTCACTTTCATCAAACCAAAACATCAACTACATACACATTGCCCTAAGCATCTTCTCTTACACATTCCAACTTTCCAAGTAGCATATAAGCAAATCTTTATGTAATGAACAAAAGTGTTTTCATGGAAGTCAATTGTCCTTGAACAAAACAAAGTGGACCACATAGTTTTTTAACTCACATAAGTAGCAGTGAAAAGAAAAAAGAACTAATGGCTTAGCACAGATTCAGCAACCAAGTTCACAAGGTTAGAACAAACATTTGCCAAAGCCTAATGGTCTAAATCAAAGCAACTATGATAGGTGGACAAATTCAGTCCTAAGCACATTTAAAAGTAAAAAAGGGCAAACAACTTACTAGAAAACACAAGATATGAATGGATGCTGCCAAGTCATGACAAATAATTCACAAATAGAATACTGACTCAAGCATGCAGTGTCAAAAAAAACAAAAAAAACAATGTTCAGACCCTAATACAAGCAAGACTCAAACATTCAAACTTTGACAAATGAATTTCACAAAGGTAAGCAACATTTTGAAACAGAAAAAACAAGCCAAACATGGGATGCTCCTAGGGTTGGGGCCACCTACTTTGAATGTCATCAAGTTAATAGAACCCTCATACCTGGACCAACAATCATTCTCACAACAGCATGCCAAATACTTTAACAATACAGATCAAACAGCTTCACCTCTTTTTTTTTGAAATAAAAACAACAGCAGTTTGACAATGCCTAACACCAAACATTAACTCAATATATGCTCACAACAATTGTTCAATCACCAAAGTTGAGATGTTTGAAAACACTTGTCAAGAAATTCAAGAAAG